GGGGGGCGAGGCTGCCGGCAGACCCGCCCTCCCCACATACCCCCTCCCTCCGCAGCAGGGGAAAGGGGACGCACCGCCCAGGGGGCCGGGCTCCTGGGTCGCAGCCGCTGCCGCCAGAACCCGGAGGGCGGGGCACTGTCCCAAGGCTAGGCCAGGGCTGGGGGTGGTGGACCTGAAGGAGGGAGTCGGACACGAGCGCTGAGAACCACTTTATTGCATGCATTTTGGGGAGTGGGGAGTCCCGGAGCAAACACAGCAGACCCCACCCAGGTGAGCTGCTCAGGGGCTGGTGCTTGGGGGCAAGATTCCTGGGCCTTGGGGAGGCACAGGTGGTGGCTGCAGCTGCTGCCTCTGCTGTTGCTCCTGCTGGAGCCTGGCTCTGTTGGCCCTGCAGGAGAGAGCACAGGGGTGGTCGGGACAGGGATCCTGGAGGGTGGTGCCAGGACAGTGAAGAGAGGGCAGAATAGAGCAGGGACAGACCTGGCCCGGGCCCGTGTGTCATTGTAGATAGCTGTGATGATCCGATCCTTTTCATCCATGAAGCTACGGTGCATCTGCTCCAGCTTCCTGCATAGGGGTTACAATTAACCCTGAGTCCCCCAAGTCCCACACCCTGTACCCCACTCTAGGGTCTCATAGCTTTACATCTGTGGAGACTTCAGCCTAACTGCCTGTGCTGGGTAGGGAGAGGTACACAGAGTAGCTGGGCTTGTCCAGGGTCCAATGGCAACCCAAGTCCCTGGCTGTCCTGTTGAAGGTGGTGACAGCAACACTGAACATCAGGTGGTCCTCACAGGAGATTAGAAAGGACTGTATGTCTAACTCCATCACTGAACTCTGCAGGCTGTTGGTGGATACTGCCTTTAGGTATGTTTGCTGTAGAACCTCAGAGTGATGGCATGCATGAGAAAGGCAATGAGACAGGTGACTGCCAAACATGACGACAGTTACTAGTGAGGACAGTTAAAATGCATTTCTTTCTTGTGCATGATTTTGGTTGGCTCTACCACTCCCTAGCAGCCAGCACCAAAAATTTACCTTCAAACTATTTTAAAAAACTGAAAATGACAACAATAGCCTTTTGCAGAGCTGCTTTTACTAAGTGAGGAGATGCTCCAGAGACCTACTTTATGCAATTCTTAGCTGGAGAGACACAAGAGTGCAGGCCACAGGGGTGGTGTGGATGGCTGGCTGACCACACAGGGCTTCATTCCCCCTCTTGCCCTCTTCCCACCACTCCCAGGGGAAGCCTGAGATGCACCTGAAGGCAACATAGTGCAGGCCCATGCCTGCCAGCATGATCAGGAGGCAGTACCCCAGCACCCTTTGGTTGTGTCTGTGCTGCTGCTGCCTTGACTCTGGTCCTTGAGGCCTCACGTGATGAAACTGGGCCCAGTATTGTGCATTGGGGGGTGCCCAAGAGCTGTTAGGAGGGAAAAGGAACAGTGTGGGGATAAGGCTCCTCAGGAGGTTGGGGCGGGGCAAGCTAGCAGCAAGATACTGTACCTGTGTGCTTGATGAGCCGACCTGGGATGGGCTGTGGTTCCTGAAGACCTTGGGGGAGTTGCTGAACGGAGCTGGTGGTCATAGCTGCGGCGGCTCTGCTCCCTGCTGAGCACTTGGTACGCTTCACTCAGCTCCACAAAGCGACTGTGCAGGGCTGGGTTCCCAGGGTCCCGGTCAGGGTGCAGCTGGGATGGGGCAGGACATCCCTCATCTCATGTCCCTTCCCACGCTCCTTCCCAGGAACCATCTCAATAATGTCCACCCACAAGGGCTCAAACCATTCCCAGAGGTCCTGTCTGGGGAGTGACCCTCATTCTCAAGCCCTCGGGCCAGGCACCCCTCCAAAAGGCCAGAGTGTCAAGAGGCACTCCTGCCCCATCCCCTGTTCAAGCCCCCCTCCCCTTCCCTCTGCCTGGTTCTCACTATATGCCCTGGCCCGGGCTTTCTCAAGAGCAGACGAGTCTAGAGAACCAGGCCCAGCCCATCAGACAGGCTTTCCTTTGGCTTTCCTCCTGCCCAGCCAGACCTCTGCCCTTGGGGCGCACCCCTCCATATGCATGCTGAGGGAATGCAGCATAAGTTCCTCCTGGGAATTTGGAGTGCATCCCATCTGGCTCAGACTTCTTCCTCCTCCCTGCTTAGGACCACTGGTACCTCTTTGGACTTGGAGAAGAAAGCTCGTTTAACTTCTTCAGTGCTGGCATCAGGATGCACCCCCAATAGTTCATAGTAGTTACTGGGGCCAGATCTGTGGAGAGAGGCCCAAAACTGCAGGGGCGAAGGAAACACAGAGGATACACCTTCCCTACCCCTCCCAGTTCTCTTGGGCCACACCCTTCAACTCGGCAACCAGGGGCTGAGGGGGCTTGAGGCATGTGCCAAGGGAGATCTACCTCCAAATCATCCCTCTTTGTGAGTGTTTTGGCAATGTTGCAGATCAGAACATCTCAAAGTGTAGTTCTCAGATTCCTTGTGTCAAAAACACCTGAAAAGCTTGTTTAAAAAAACAGATTCCTGAGCCTCCACCTCATTCCTGCAAATCAGAATCTCCAGAGCAGGGCCCAGGAATCTGCACTTTATACTCCCCCGCCCCGTAGGTTAGTGATGCTTGACGACCACAGTTGTGGAAAGTGCATTGGGTTTGGCTTGGGCTCAGACTCGCTGTATAACCTTCGTGGTCCTCAATCTCTGATCCTGTGTCCTCAGCAGTGAAGGTGAGAAAAGCCTGTACGGCACCTGATCAGAGTAGATCACAACTATCTCAAGCAGATCACAACTATCTCAAGCACCTAGGGCAGGGCCTAAAGCTGGACAGGCCCTCAGCAAAAACCCACTGAACCACCGAGCCGACACCGGGCCCCCGGCGACCGACTCACCGCTGCCGGGCGGCCTCTGCGAAGAGCCAGGTGGGAGGGCTGCGGGGCCACAGCCGGCATAGGCGCAGGGGCAGCATGGCGGCAGGCGGGCAGCTGGTGAAGGGAGGCCACAAAGAGTGCATCGGGATCAGACTTCAAGCACTCTGGGGGCCGAGGGAAGGGGACTGGCCCCATTTAACTTGCGAAGGAAAACTGAAGCAGGCCCGGGAGACTCAGGGCAGGTGGGGCCTTCTTGCTCAAGACTAGACCCCAGTGTCCTGGATGTGTCCTGCCCCTGACCCGGACCCTTCTCCACACTGGCCCCGGTCCTGGACAACCAGTCCGCGGGCGCAGAAACCCCGCGTCCCACCCAGACAACCTGGGGAACCGATGAAGGAGGAGTCACATCAAGCCCCGCCCCCGCTAGACTCACGGACTCCCGGGCCTCCGCCATTTCCTGCGCCGACTCAGGCCCTGCCCCCCACGTTCTCATTGGCTTAGACGCCCGGTCCACGCCCACCGAGCCGGAAGGTGCGATGGAGGCCCTACCCCCACAGCCCATCGGCCTTTGACTCTTCAGGCCCGCCCACCGAGGCCGAGTGTCTTGGATGCGCTGAAAGGCGCGATTGTCCACCCGGAAAGCCCGCGGCATGGAGCCTGACCTTCAGTGATGCATTCGGCCCAGCTGCTGTCGCTCTGTCCCGCGAACATGGCTCTTACTCCACTTTTCAGCGAGACACTTCTCAGAGCAGCTTCCACCCCATAGTCACCCAGGACCCTCACCAGAGCCTGGCAAGGGGGCACGGCTCTCACCCCAGCTAGCAGGGGGGGACTGAGGCTGGACTTTTTTTTTCCAAGTCACTTGTCTTGTCTCTCTCACCCACCCCGGTCTCCCAGCGGCCCCTCTCTGTCTCACGGAAACACAAGATGCCAACCAAATCCAAGAATAAAGTCCTTTATTGTCTTCTGAGATGTGATAGGGCTAGGGACCCTAGGGCGACTCAGGTGGGGCATCCCTGGACTCTGTTGTAGAGGAAGATGGCTCCTTTGGCTGAGGGGCAGAGTTCGGCCCACATTTCCATCTCCTGAAACCTCCGCACGCTCTGTGGGGAGACAGTGAGATCCAAACACCCATCCCTCAGGTCTTTTGCAGGAGCTGTGCCCAGTTTCTGAGCCTCAGAGCCCTCTCAGAGCCCTGCGGGGTCCCTAGGGAGACATGTTAAGGGAGCTGGACAGGTCCTTGGCCCTCTCTCCCTTGGCCTGTGGGCATGCCAATGAGGCCTTGTGGCTCTGGAGGAAAGCTCTGAGAGATTTGGGAGCCCTGTTTGACCCAGCCCACCATAAAGGCATACATCACCAGGCCTCTGCAAGTCCCAACTCAGTTACTCATTCAAGCAAAACTTTGCCACTTCGCACCTGTGCCTCCACAAAGATGATTCCCGTGGACTCGTGGGCCTCAGGTCCTCCACTCATGTAGTGCTTCCTCACCTGCTCAGAAGTCAGGCTACACCTGGACAAGAACATAAGCGTGGCCTGGTGGATGCCCAGGCCCTGGAGCCCCAGCTGCCGCAGCCACACCCCTCAATACCCACCTACCACAGGACCCAGGACTCTGTTCCCCAGAGCTCACTCACTGGACGTAGAACTCGGCACTGGCGCGGCCGGCACTGGTCTCATTTCGGGCGATGCCCAATAACAGCGGCTGGCTCAGGGTGAGCAGTGGCAGGTTCACCTGGGGCCAGGGGTCCCACCTGTCAGTGCCCACTGCCCACATCTTGCCCCTCTCAATGGAGAACAGCGCATGCATTACCCCTGCACATCATTTTACAGTTTGTAGCTCAAGTGCTCAGAATCACAGGATGTCAGCTCTTTGGCATGTTCATTTTACAGATGGGAAAACCAGAACTCGAGAGATAGAATAATTTGCCTAGCATCACCCAAGGCAAGTCGATAAATCAACTCCTATTTACTCCTCTTTTCAACAAACCCAAGGTGAGTAGGCAAGACATTTACAATTATTCCCATTGTAAAGAGGAAGAACCTGAGGTACACAGATGTGAGGGCTAGAATTCCAATCCAGGTGTGCCCAGCTGCAAAGCCAAGTTCCTTCCTCAATTTCACATGCCTGCAGACCCTCCCATCAGCCCGGACCAAGGAATTCTGGCATGTTCTACCACCTCCCTTCGGGCCCACCCCTCACTCACCTCATCACAGATCTCCTGGAGGACACTTGAGAAGAGCTCATGCACCACCAGCTCTCCAGGGAGGTCTCTGTGCAGGGGGCTGTCACCAGGGCACAGGGCCTGTGAGAGGTCAGGCTCAGCCCCTGCTCCCCACTTACTCCTGCCCTTCCTTCCCCATACTTGCTGGCCCTGAGGGCCTTTGCGGGAACAGTGTAAGAGTGTTGGTGATCACCTAACTTAGGCCCTCCTTTTCCAGATGGGCAACCAGAGGTCCAGCTAACTCCTTGCCCCCATTCCCTAGTTTCCCACAGGTCTGGAGCAGGGAACACTGGGGAGGCCTTGAGCAGAGACTTTCAGAGAAGTACCAGGCCAGTTCTTCTTTTGAGAGATAAGGAAAACAAAACTGAGCCATCTGGGTCTTTGTGCGCAGTCTGGAATCTCACCTGAGGCTCAGGGTGCCCACCAGGCACGTCCACCAGCCCAGGTGCCTCAGCCACCTGCCGAGAGCGGCGCAGGAAGACAAGGAAGTCATCCGCAGTGACCAGTGTGGCGCCCACCCCCAGCGGGTCTGCCAGGTAGGCTTGCTTGTCACCCCAGTCTGTAGCCCCCTGCTGCTGCAGCCAGGCAGCAGAGCTGGACCAGTTGGTGCCCAGGAAGTCTCGGTAGGAAGTAAGACCTAGGCGCAGGAGAAGCTGTGGCCCTGGTGAGCCAGTGGGTGCCAGGGTGACAGAGTGCAGGCGGAACTTGGAGGCATCAAAAAGCCAAGGCTGGGCCTGTAGCCGGCTCTCCCAGATGGCAGCGATGGCCTTGTCCCCTTCTGGCAGTGGGCGACGGTCGTAGGCTGGGCTCAGTTCAGCCCGTACCTGCTCCTCTGGCAGCCCACCCGGGGGGCACTGCAGCAGCAACGACACCTCAGGGTCCATGGTCTGGACAGGGCAGCTCTGGAGAGGTCACAGCCAGACTTGTCACCCTGGGAACCCACAGCCACCCACAGACCTCCTAAAGATACCCCCAGTCCTTCCGTACCCCACTGGGCAGTAAAGTGTCTTATCCAGCAAGAGCCAGAGACTCCTGCTGCCAGACATCCCTGGGACTCCCGGGCACCCCTACCACCTAGAGGTCCTGGGTCCAATCACCCTCTAATGCCCACGTCTCCCAAACCCAGGGCTCCTGCTTCCAACTCTGGACGCGCAGGTACCTTCACCAGGGCCCGGAAGCTGCTGCCTCCAGCTGGCACTCTCCGCAGACTCAGCCCGCAGCCTCCGCCCCTTTACCGGAGCGGAAGTGCCCGCCCCTCCTTCCTGGACTTCTCATTGGCGGGTCCCGCCCAGGAGCCCGCAGGGTCAGCCGTCCGGAGTACCTACCCGTCTGTTCTCTGCTGAGTCTGTCTTGTCCTGCGTTGATCTTCCGCGTCGTTATTCCGGATTTCGGCCCCGCCTCCTCAGGTCCTCCTCGCGGGGCAGGTCCGCGACCCTGGAGCACGGTGGCTCGGCTTCCCTGACAGTGTGACCTTGGGCAAGTCTTGCCTGCTGGGCCTCAGTTTACCTATCTGCACCAGGCGGTGGCTCGGCTTCCCTGAGCTCCGTCGCTGACAGTGTGACCTTGGGCAAGTTTTGCCTGCTGGGCCTCAGTTTACCTATCTGCACCAGGGAGTTGGGGTGGGAAGTGAATTTAATGAGCTGAGTGTCCCCTTCCCAGCTCACATCTTGAAGCTTTGTGACTTTCAGGGCAGGATGGAGACACAGGAGGATCCTGTAACAGTCTGAACATGTCACTGCTGCCCACATAGGTTTTGGCCATGAACTCCTCTGGAAGAAGGAAGCAGGAAGCATCAGGGCTCAGGGATAGAAGGGCTCACAGATCCCTAGAAAAGGTGCACCCCTCCCCACCCTCACCACCACCCCTCTTGGTGGGAGGGCAGAGAGGACTCTAAGCCCAGCCTCCCTGGGAAATGCCAGTGGAGTGGCAGTGGGGCTGATGGATCATCCTATTCCCAGAGAGCACAGGGCCTCCTCTCCCTCTGGTCTCCCCCTGCAGCAGGTCAGGGTCATCATGGGGACAAGGGGCTACCTCTGGTCTCTTGCAGGACAGAGATGTACAACTGTCCAAGGCTCTGTCCTACGCCCTGCGCCATGGAGCCCTGAAGCTGGGGCTTCCCGTGGGGGCCGGTAAGTGAAGGTCTTGGAGGCTGGGGCGAGGAGGGGCTCCAGCGCAAGGAGCAGGGTGAGCCTGTCTGACTGCCCTTCCCCATAGCTCCCACGATGGCCCTATGGGGACAACACAGAGGGCACATCCCTCCATGTCCACGGACAGGGAAGACCGAGGCCCAGAGCCCAATATCATGTCTGGGGCAAACTGGGAAAGGAGCCTCTCTCCAGGCCAGACTTGGTGATACCTCCAGCCCAGTGGCCCAATAAGCATATCCCAAGAGCAGGCACTGGGGGTGGGGAAGTTAGTGCAAATGAGGCTTATTGAGTGTCTACTTTGGGCTGAGTACTGTGCCAAAAAAGGTCACTTTATCCTTGTGACTCTCCATTAGGCAGATCTTATGTCCATGTCAGTTGAGGATACTGAGGCCCAGAAAGGGGAGACTTTCTACAGGTCACACAGATGAACCCTTGTGACTCACAAGGTTCAGTTCCGGTTGCTATGGCTCCTTCTGTTAACTCTGGCCCAGGCCAGAGCAAGTTCAGCTCCTGAGCAGCCCCCCTGCCCACAGATGGCTTCGTGCCCCTGGCCGCCCTCCTGCAGCTGCCCCAGTTCCGCAGCTTCTCAGCTGAAGATGTGCAGCGCGTGGTAGACGGCAATGGGAAGCAGCGTTTCGCCCTACAGCCGGGAGACCCCAGCACTGGTCCTCTCATCCGGGCCAATCAAGGTCACTCCCTGCAGGTGGGGGCTAAAGGGACAAGTGGGGGAGCCAGGTGGGACCCCTGCCTGGGAGGGGATCTCACTGCTGCCCATCCTCTCACCCATGCTAGGTACCTGAGTTGGAGCTGATGCCCCTAGAGACCCCACAGGCCCTGCCCCTGATGCTCGTCCATGGAACATTCTGGCAGCACTGGCCCTCCATCCTCCTCAAGGGCCTGTCCCGTGGGGGAAGGACTCACATCCACCTGGCTCCGGGACTGCCTGGAGACCCTGGTGTTATCAGTGGTCAGTGCCTCCCCTCTGGCTACTCCCACCCACTCTGTCCTCCCAGGGTCCCCTCCAAGGGTCTTAGCCTCTTTTGTCCAAGGCCATGCAGCAGCACCCTCTTCTCCCCATTGAGCCCAGGAGCCCAGCCTGCCAGGTTTAATAACTGCAACCCAAGACACCCCAAGCCTCAGCTCGTTGTCTCTGCAGGCATGCGGCCAAATTGCGAAGTGGCCGTGTTCATCAATGGGCCCCTGGCCCTGGCAGGTGAGTCTGGACACAGCAGGGACCGCCCTAGGCCTTCAGAGAGGGCGTGAGTCACATCTCCGTTCTGTCTGCAGATGGAATCCCCTTCTTCCGCTCTGCCAACGGGGTGATCCTGACTCCAGGGAACGCTGATGGCTTCCTGCTTCCCAAGTACTTCAAGGAGGCCCTGCAGCTGCGCCCTACCCGTGAGCACCACCACCGCACCCCCATTCTTTGCGCCTGAAGCCCGTGCCTTCTGCCCTTCACTCTTCCCCAGCCGCCAACCCCAAGCTGACTTAGGTCTCCTTTTCTCTAACCACCTCGTCTCTATCTCAGGGAAACCCCTCGCCTTGTCTGATAATGAAGAGACAGAGTGTCAGAGTGGGCCCAGGCACACCTCCAGAGGAAGAACAATGATCCGACAATAAAATATTTATTTTAAAAAAAGAAATGTAAAAAGATAAAAAAGAAACTCCAGTTTGAAGTCATGAATCATCCTGTAGCTACAGCCGGTCTTCTTCCTGTGCTTGGGCTGCTAGGTCAGGGGTGTTGGTCTCGGTCACTCAGACAAGGGAAGGGCGGGCACTAGAGAGCTCAGGGCCCACTCCCCTGGCCTGGGGGATGGCAGAGTCAGGCCCAGCCAGGTCCCTGGTTTGCACAAAGCCAGTGAGTGGGCGAATGTGCCCAGCTTGATGCGTGTCTGGAGAGGGTGGGGGCAGTGAGTTCCAGTGCGTGTGGGCTTATGAGTGGCCATGGCAGGTGGTGAGCGGGACAGGGGCAGTAAGACGGTCCTCAGAAGGCCTCGTGGCCCCCTGTGAGCTGCAGGAAGAGGTCCTCATCCAGCTCCTCCCCACGAGCCCGCTCCCGGGTTGACAGGAAAATGTAGCCCCCGATGTACTCGTGCACAATGCGGCAGCTGGCAGACACGCAGCTGAAAGCCACGTTGATGTGTTCATCAAACTCGATGGCCACCTACAGGGCAGGCAGGCAGAGGGGCTGGTGGGGGCAAGATAAGGGAGCGGCCCCTGCTCTGGATGGGTCTGGCCCAGCCTCCTGTCCCTACCCCCACCCCCACTCTGGGCCCACCTGTCGGATATCCCAGTTGACATTCCACTGGCGCATGTTGCTGAAGCGCCAGGTCTTGACCACGTCGCCCACGGCCAAGTCGATGCGGATCAGTCGGTTGTTGGCGATACCCAGGATCTCATCTTTCCTGCTGCCCTTGAACCTGGCCCCCAAGGGGACAGATTGTGAGCCAGGGCCCCACCCTGCATGGCCTCAGAGCCCTCCCAGACAGCTTGATGCGGTGCTCAGGAGCAAGTTTCTTTGGGCCTCAAGTTCCTCATCTGGATAGTGGGGGTTAATTGATATAATCATTATAGCATTTAACAGCATCGGGCAAATGGTCCATGCCTCGCTCATATCTTTGCAGGCTTGGAAAACGGGCAAAGGGGGCACTCCTTGTCACAGCAGCCAGTGTTGGCCCTGTCCTACAGACCAGCCAACCGACGCCCGGAGAGGGAAAGGTCCATGGCAGAGCTGAGACAGGAGCTGGATCTTCTACTCGCCTGGCCTGGCCTGATTCTCTCTCTCTCTCTCTCTCTCTCTCTCTCGGACAGGAGCTGGATCTCCTACTGGCCTGGCCTGGCCTGATTCTCTCTCTCTCTGTCTCTCTCTGTCTCTCTCTCTGTCTCTCTCTCTGTCTCTCTGTCTCTCTGTCTCTCTCTCTCTCTCTCATGTTTGCTGTGGGGATGCAGGATGCGGGGGCACATGGGGTGCCACAGTCAGGCCTGCCCACAGAGAACAGGAAGGGAAGCTTCAGGGCGCTGCTCACCAGGCAGCAGGCGAGGGCAGAGTGGGCTAGGGTGGGCTCGTACCTGACCATGACATAGGAGATGCCAAAGTCTGGCAGGGACTGCCAGGCCTGGATGAAGCGCAGCTGGGCCTCAGAGAGCGAGAGCTGGGCCACGTTCTGGTGGGCCTCCAGGATCCGTGGGGTAAGCTGTGGGACCACACTGGTGAGGGGCCCCCGAAGTCCCTGAGACCCCCTGCCTGTCCCCATCAGGGAGACAGGACGCTGAGCCTGGGGCAGGGCCAGTGTCCGTTGTGGGGCCACCAGAATGCACCCCCTCACCACCACTCAGCAAAATGAGCTGAGCCAGGCGCTGAGGTGCACACGGGTGGCTGGACTGTGACCCCCCTTGCAGAGGGAAAGGACCAGCGCACTCAGTCTCAGGGACATGGTGGGATAAGGAACAACTGAGCACGTGGCTTTCCAGAGAAAAGCTCTGTGGAGTTCCAGGGCCCAAAGATAGGCAGGCAAATGCCATCGTCATTCCCGCCTCCCACTCCCTCTGGCACCTGTTTGGCCTTGAACTTTCGCTGGAAGCGGGGGGCAACAAGGCCATAGGGGTTGAGGCCCTCGGAGGCAGCGTCAGGGCCCTGGGGGTGGTTGCCCGAGCCCCCACCGCCTGTCCTTTGCAGGCTTAGGAAGGCCAGGATGGCCTGCACCTCGCTGGCGTAGCTGCTGTCCGCCATAGTGCGGCCCTTGGAGGCCAGTCGGCAGCCGGCCATCCAGCGGGCATACTGCTGATCCTGGGGCGAGAGGACACGGGAGGGTGGTGAGGGGCAGGCCAGGCTCTCATTCAGCCCCCTGCCCCTGTCTTTGTTCCCACTCCAGTCTCAGCCCAGCCCTGGCCCCTGCTCGGCCCTCACATCCTGGCACCGCAGGTAGATCTCACTCATGCCCTCGGGGGAGGGCACCAGGAGTTTGATGCAGAATTTCTGGCCTGAGACGTTGACATCCGGAACCACCTCACAGCCTGGAGGGAGAAGAAGGGGTGGGCTAGAAGGCCGCAGAGGGGGAGCCCTGCCTGAGAGGCTCCCAGGCAAATGTCAGCCCTGCACAGCTACCTCAGGACAGAGGGCTTCTTCCATGGCCCTCAGGAGGAAACAGGTGACAGCGTTCACCTGGCCGGCATGCAGCCCTGCCCTTATCCCTGCCCCTGCCACCCTCACCCTTGAGGTTGAGCTGCTGAATGGGGTCGCCCGGGGCCTCGTCCTGGCTCTTGTAGTAGGACAGCGTGGTCTCCTTGAACACCACCCAGTGCTGGCGGTACCCCTTCAAGGTCAGCTTCCGGGGCCTGAAGGGGAGCGGGAGGTGGTGACATGCTCTCTCTCCACACCGGGCCCCTCCAGCAGGACTGCCAGCTCCATTCCCAAACTCACCGGAAGATCCGGAGATTGTCCTTGAGTTCTGGGATGGTGGTGAGGCTGTCCTAGGGACGAGAGGAGTCAGAGCTGGTCCTGGTCCCTGTGCTTGGCCCTGACCCCCACCTCTGATCGGAGCCCCTCCTCACCAGCATGTCTGTGGGCGCTGACCCCTCCAGCTTCACCTCCAGGTTGCTCAGGGCTGTGTCCAGGTCGTCCAGCCCGGGGTCCGTGCCAGTTGGTTCACCCACCTTCCCACTCTGGGACAGCTTGTTGATGTGGTACTGGGTGGGGCACATAGCCAGGGAGGGCTTAGCGGCAGCCCATTCCCCTCACCGTGCCCTGAGCTTCCCCAGAGATGGGGCCCCATTCCAGAAGTCCCTTCCTGCCCCGGGACTGGCCTGCACCCAGCCACCTGGGCCCCCAGGCCTGCCTGGCACCTGCAGGGCTGCAAACACCATCATCTCCTCCTCAGTGCAGTCGATCTCCTCCAGCAGCAGGTCCCACCGAGCCTGCTCGTACAGCTGGGTCAGTCGCACCGGGTCTGTCTGGAGCGGTGAGAGGGTGAGGCTGGGCTGGTCAGGTGCCAAGTACCCTGAGCACCCTATGCACCCAGCCCCCGCGAGCCTCAGCCTTCAGCCCCACCGTCCATGCTGCAACAAGCTCATTCAGTGGTACCACATGGGCAGAAGATCCCAATCCCCGGCTTACAGCCTGCCAGTCCCAATTGCCCAGGTAGGTGGCACCTTTTCCCCTCTAAACTTTTTGGTACAGATGTTGACTATATGTCGTCTATTGTGCACCCCACAGGCTGCTGAGGGAAAAATGGGGACTGAGTAAACCCATCAATAAATGAGTGATTCAAGAGTGGGCAGTAAAAGCCGTAAGAGAAATAGCTGCGAGGTGTGGCTCACTCATGCCCTCCGGCAAGGACACCACAAGCTTGATGGCGATGACAGAGAATGGAACTGGGTTGCAGGGGGCTACTCTACATGAGAAAGTATTCAGGGAGGGCTTCCCTGAGGAGGTGACATGTTGTGCTGAGACCTGAGGATGACAATGGGCCACTAAAGAGAAGAGAGATAGGAAGAACATTCCAGAGAGAAGGAACAGAGTGTGCAAAGCTCAAGAAAGGATTCCAGTTACCCACAGAAGACCAAGCCCACACCCTCTAAAACCCACCAAAATTGATAGCAAAAGCATAAAAAAGGTAAACTCAAAAGGACAAGGAAAGGAGAGGGGACTAGAGCAAGTAAGAAATGCCAGCAAAATCTGGGACGATGGGAAGCAAAAATGTGAATAGGAACTGAGTTTCAGGGGAAGACAGCTGGGCTCCCACAACATTCTCCCTCTCTTGTTCTATGATAAAGGCACTGATGAGTTCTGAAAATAGGCAGAAAGCAAACTGCAAAATGGACAAAGATCTGGACAAAGGCATCCCGTTCACATGGCAGACCCTGGAGAGGTTCCGGTCTGGGACCCCGTGGCTGAGAGGTGAGGATGGGCAGAGATGAGGACTGTAGAAATTCTATAAGAGGAGCAGGTCCCTCCCCACTCCCTGCAACCAAATGACAGCCAGCTGGTACCTGGAAGAAGCCAGAAATTTACTCTGAAATGCTGAGCTGGAGGTACCCCTGCATTTGGTACTCCAGGCATAGCTGGATATGCGTGGAGGGGGTGCAAGTTCCTGAGAACAGACGCATGAAGAGAAGGTTGGCATTCTGAGAAGTGAAACCCCCCAGCCCTTCTCCACTTGCCACCCAAGACTTTGGCGGTGAGCCTTCTACGCTCAGTCAGGAGATCAGAAATTTCACTGCTAAGAAACCAATGGCTAAAAGAGAACCCTCCCTCCAAAGAGTGATGTCCTTGCCCTAGCACCCCCAAGAAGCCCGCAAAATGACGAGCCCTATTCATCTACTCAGAGTTTCCGATTGGCTTCTTAGAGCCTTACTTGTAAATACGAAAGGCCAGGCAAGGATCACTCACATTTAAGGAAAGCTGCCAGCATGAACTGCAGAGATCAAGGCAAACTGGGGCAAAAAAAAGAGCTTGGAGGAAATAAAGACAATGTAGGGAGCAGAAGAAAACGTCCAACACTAGTCAAAATCCTTATAGAGGCAACATACCGCACTCATAAAACAACAGGATGCTATAGCAATTATAGGAACATATAGCGATTAAGACTGTGTGGCACGGGCAAGAGGAAATGAATCGACCAATGGAACCAAAGAGAGTCAGAGAGAGACCCGCACCTGACTGAGGACAAAGGTGATCCTGCAGTCACTGGGGAAAGGATACTCTTTTTAGTAAATGACACTGGGTCAATTAGATACCCATGTGTCAAAAAAAATTTTTGGTACCCTTACCTCACACCACATACAAATATCAATTCCAGATGGATGGCAGAACTTAAGACAATAAGGCCTTTAGAGAAAAACAGGACTGCGTCTTTGTGATCTTGGAATAAAAAAAGATTTCTTAAACAGGACAGAAAAGATATTAATCCTATAGGAAAAAATATAAATCAGATTATATTAAAATTAGGAACTTCTCTTTATCAAAATCAACCACTAAGAGAATGAAAAAGTAAAGCACAGAGTAGGAAACTATGTTCACGATGTATTTAAGTGACAAAGTACTCATATACCAAAGTTATAAAGAACTCTTCCAAAGTGGTATGAAAAAGACAAGGAAGTAAATATAAAAGTTGGCAAAAAAACTGGAACAGAAACTTGACAAAAGAGGATCTCCAAATGGCTAATAGCCCTATGAAAAAGGGCTCAACCTGATTAGTCATCAGGGAAATGTAAATTAAAGCCACATAAAAAGCACATCAGTGGCTGTCTGGGGGGTGGGGGTGGGCGGAGGGATGACAACGGCAAATGGGCACTGGGGAACTTTCTAGAATGATGGAAATGTGCTAAAACTGGACTTTGGTGATGGTTACACAACTGTAGACATTTACTAAAAATAAACTGAATGCTTACACTGGGGGATTTTTATGGTATGTAAATTATATCTCATTAAAGCTGTTTTAAAAAACATATAAACAAAAAACCATATGAGATACTTTTACACATCTACCAGAATGGCGGTAGGACATACCTACAGAGGTGGGACATACCAAGTACTAATGAAGCTGTGAAACAGCTGAAAGTCTCATACACTGCTGATGGGAGTGTCGGCTGGTACAACCATTTAGGAAAACTATTTAACAGTCATCCAATGTCTGCCCTGGAACCCAGCAATTCCGCCTCTGGGTATAAACTCCACAGAAATGTGTACCTATGTTCACAAAAAGACATATACTGAAATGTTTATAGCATCTCTGTTCATAATAGCCCCAATCCAGAAATTACACAATGCTATCAACAGTACAATGGAAATTAATTGTGGTATATTGACAGGACAGAATGTTATACACAATGAGAAAGAGTAAACCACATCATATAAGCATAATGCTGATTGAAAGAAGCCAGACACAAAAGAGTATAGACCGCGTGATTTCATTTATGTAGATTTCGAACACAGGCAAATTTGTCTGTGGTGTTAGAATTAACATCAGTTGTTGTCCTTGTGGGAGATAGTGCCTAAAGGGGTGGGGGTCAGGCGGGGCTTCTGGGGGCTGGTAAAAGTGCTATAAGCTTTAAAAAGGAACACTCAGAAAAGAAGAGCTCTTAGAACTTAAAAATACAGCTGCAGAAATTCAAAATTGAATAGTTCGGTTAGAAGATAAGTCAAGGAACTCTCCAGAAAGTAGAACAAAAAGACAATGAGCTTAAAAAACAAGAGAGAAAAGATGAATGACTAATTTGTTTCCTTGAAGAATCAATCCAGGAGGTCTAATATCTACTAAGTTCTAGAAAATAGGAACAGAAAAATGGAGGGGAGAAAATTATTAAAGAAATTATTAAGTGCATTTTTCCAGAACTGAAGGACCCGGGTTTCTAATTTGAAAGGGCTCAGCAAGTGTACAGGCCAATTAATGAAGAAATATTCATACGACCGAGACATTTAGAACACTAAGAGATAAGGAGATTTTAAAAGTTTCTGGTACCTCCCTCTTATCTCCAAGAAAAAAAAAGCGTGTGTCACAGATGGAAGGACTAAAAATAAAAACGGCATCAGACTTCTCAACAGCAACATTGGAAACTGGAAACTAGGAGACAATGGGAAAGTGGGCTTCAAAATTTGGCAGGAAAATGTTTCCAACTTAGAATTCTATACCTAGCCAAACTATGATGTGACTCAGAACTGTGACCTTTTCCGTCATGCAGGATTTCAAACTGTGGAAGCCTCACATATCCTTTTAGAGGAAGTTACTGAAATATATGCTCCGTAGAAATAAGGGAGTTCAACATGAAAGACGAATACTAGGGATCCAGAAACCAACAAGTCCCATATAGGAATTCCCAGGAAATAGTGAAGGGCAATAGTCCAAGGACAACAGTCACACACTAGGTATAGAGTCCTGCCATTCCACAGTCCCGAGAGAGAGGGAATCAGCAGTGTGGCTGGGGTTGCTATGTTGAGAGGACTTGGCTACGGAATAGCCCAACTCATCACTGCGAAGACCCCCATTGTCAAGCCACAGCCACATCGAGAATGTCCAGATGGCCTTTTGGGGTCTCTCTTCTAACTGTGCACAGACAATTAATAGAAAAATAAGTTAATAAAAATATAGCAATTATGAACTATAAGAAAAACTTGACCAAGAAAGGAAATATCATTACTCTGTGGCTTAGCTAAGAACTCTGTTTATATGTGTTACTATTTACAGCCACGATCATGTTGTTTTCACCAACAACTATAGCACAGCTCAATTGGAAAGATGCAAAGAAATGTGTGTATTGTAGGGGAAGAGGGGAGGGTGTAAGACAGCTAAATCTGCATCTTTCATAAAAAGTCAGTAGATAATGTGTGAAATGAAAAAAACAAGGAATAGAAATATATAAACATGCCATAGACATAATCACTAGAATAAAAAGCTGCAGAGTTAAAATCTACAATCTCTAGGGATTGGAGATCTGGGTTAAGGAGAAGTGTGGCAGGGAACTACTTTTGTTGTTGTTGTTGTTGTTCCAGACCTACTGGGATTATTTAACTCTTTAAGCCATCATATATTACTTTGACAAAAAATAAAATTTAAGAGACAGAAAGAACAACAAAGAGCAAGTGGCTTTTAGATACTGGATGACAGACCACACAGAACAGAGAAGGGAAACATGGTGACTGCTAAGATTGCCCCAGCCAACTGCCTGGAAAGAGAGTTTGCAGCCTGTAGCTCAGCGAGGAGGTCCCCAAACAGAGCTCAGCATATCCCCTGGGATTGAGGAGATGTAGTTGAGAATTTGGGGAATCCAAGTTCACAGGACAGTACTGGAGAGGAGACAGCAGCGCAGAGAGAAAACTCTAGAAAGGAGCAGGGAAGACATTTGTTAGACCTCACCTAGGGTGGGAACAGATCACACCCCCAACAGCCAGGTTAGAGAAACCTCATGTATATGACACATCAGATACGGTACTCAGAAGGCTATTCCCTTAGTAAGGAGGTAAGTTAGCCCTAGGGTAAAGGAAGTTCTTGTCCTGCCTAATTAATGTTCAAGGCTTAGAAAGATCAAACTGCTTCCAAGTATCTTAACTTCATCCTCAAACAAGGTTTACAAATATTTAAAGGACTACAAAAAAAAAAAAAAAAAAATCAGCATCCAAGAACATAAAATTCGTAATGTCTGGAATTGAATAAAAAATAACCAGATATGAAAATAAGCAGAAAAATATAATTAATTCTATCTATCACAGATGATAGAATTAGTAGAGAAAAGCATTAAAAGTTATTATAAATATATCCTATGTGTTCAAGAAAGTAGAGAAAAGCATAAGTAAAGAGAGATGGAAAATATTAAAAAGACGAAAATTTAACTTTTAGACATGGAATTAATGGCAGATTGGACATGGAAGAAGAAAAGATTAGTAAACTTAAAGATATAGAACTATCTGAAATGACACACAGAAAAATAAGGCTAAAAAACCCCAGTATCAGTGATCTGTGGGATGATTTTAAGCAGTCTAATAGTCATGTAATTGAAACACCATAAAAAGGGATGGTAGAAAAAATATCTGAAAAAAATAATGGCCTGGGGTGGTTCCATGGTGTAGTGGTTAGCACGTCTGCTTTACACGCAGAAGGTCTTGGGTTCAAGCCCCAGCAGACCCACCGTCCATACCCCGGGTGTGCCAGGCCCCGGGTGCACGCCGCGAGTGCGTGGGAGGAGACGCCCCTCCTTCGAAGATCCAGTTCTTAAGGGGAGATGGCAACATCCATAGGTCAGGGGTGGAACAGAGTGTGGGGAGGGGGGGTGGAATTAAATAATAATAATAAAAAAAATAATGGCCTGAAATGTTCTAAGTTTTATGAAAGAAACTCAATGAACTCCGAGTATGAAAAACCTTAAATGAACCAAGGCACACGATAATCAAATTGTTTAAAACTGGCGATAAAAAGAAAATTGTAAAAGCAGTCAGAAAAAAAAGATACATCACATACAGATGAGCAAAGAATGACAAGCAGACCCATTGTTGAAAGCAGTGCAAGACACAAGTCTGTGAAGTTAAGATATCATAAAAAAACAGCAACAAAACTGTCAACCGAGAACCCCTCACCAAGTAAAAATATCTTTCAAAATTACAGACATACAAAAGCTGAAAGGATTTATCACCAGTGGATCAGCACAAGAAATGTTAAAGCAAATTCTTCAGGCAGACAGAAAATGCTATCGGCTGGAAACCTGGGTCTATGCACAGGAATAAAGGGCACAGAAATGATGAATGTGTGGGCAGGTACAGAAGACTTTTTCCATGTTTTAAATGTCTTCACAGGACACTTGGCTGATGGAACTGCTCTGTGACTTGACTGTATGAATGTCAATATTCTGGTTGGGATACTGGTCGGGGGAAACTGGGACCTCTGTATGTTATACTTCTTATAACTGTCTGTGAATCTACAGTGATCTCGAAACAAAGAGTTCGATAGGAAATAATTGACTGCTTAAAGTAGAAATAACAATGACAACTCAACAATTCTTCTCCTAGGTATATACCCAAGAGAGATGAAGATATGTGGGTATGAATATTCATAGCAGTATTATTCATAACAGCCAACAGGTGGGGAAAAAAACAAATGTCTATTAACTGACGTAAATAAAAGGTGGCATATCTATACAGTGGAATATTACTCAGCCATAAAAAGGAATGAAGCCCTGAGCCATTCTACAACACGGATGAACCTCGAAAACATGCTAAGTGAAATAAGCCAGTCACAAAAAGCCACATATTGTGTGATTCCATTCATACGAAGGATTCAGAACAGGCAAAGCTATAGCAACAGAAAGGCAATTAGTAGTTGCCTGGAGCTGAGGGGCCTGGGGGATAAATAGGGAGTGACTACTAATGAGAATGAGATTTCTCTTCGGGGCGATGGAAATGTTCTAAAATTGGTTGTGGTAATGGTTGCATGACTGAATATACTAAAAAACGGCGAGTTGTATACTTCAAATGGGCAAATTATATGATATATGAATTATTTCTTAAGACAGCGTTGTCATCATCATAATAAGAGCAACAAGAAGCGTGACGATGTATTGTGGGCTTTTGCACGCGAAGTGAGGTGTGTGATAACAAGAGGGGAAGTGGAAGTATCCTGTCGTCAGGCTCTTAGACTATACGCGAAGCAGTATGTTACCAGACGGTAGTAGTGTATGTGTGCTATAACCCCGAAAACAATGGCTGAAAAAAAAAAGAGAAAGCGGCATAGCTAATAAGCTAATCGAAAGCAGATCAAATGGAATTATGAAAACTACTCAATCCAGAAGAAGGAAGGAAAGGCAAGAGAAGAGATCAAGACGCTTCCTAGGAGAAGATGCAGAGGAAGTGGAAAGGAGGAGGGTCCAGGTGGACGGGAATGGGTGGGACGCAGGGAGGTGCCCACCGCCTGATGAGGCCCGAGCCTCCAAACAGCAGCTGAGGCCACAGGCAGCCACAGAAGCCTTTTAAGCAGTAGTGACATGACCTAACATGTGTTTGCAAATGTTCATTGCAGATCCACGGGGTGGGGGGTGGGGATCCCAGAGAGGAGAAAAGTCCATTGGGAAGGGCTGCAGTAACCCACATGAGAGAAACTGATGGCTGGACAGACGAAGAGACAGAGGAGAGTGGGTGGTTTTGGATTTTAGTTCAGGGGAGGATCAGTAGGAAACGATGAGGGATGGGGTGGGTGGGAGAGCGAAGGATCCAGACTGCTGTGTAAGTCTGGGGCTTTGCAATGAACCCGTGAGTGGCGGGTGGTGGGGGCTGGCGCTGGGCAGCCTGGGAACCCAGAGTCCCGGTGCTGGCAGGAGCCTGAGGGGCCTCTTAGGAACCCGAGCCGAGACAGACAGTTGAACACACAAGTCTAGAGCTCAGGGGAGAGATGTCTGGGCTGGAGATTATAAACTTGGGAGGTATAAGGTACGCAGATGATGTTTAAATCCACGAGACTGGAGACTCCTGGGGGAAGGGGTGGAGAGGAGGAGGCTGGGATGGAGGCTTGGGGCTCGCCAATGCCCAGAGGCTGGCAGACAGGAGCGAGAGCCCAGGAGCCTTCAGGGCAGCGGGAGACACCGAGCCGAGGGGTCACAAGGGGCTGAGTAAGAAGTGGGTGGGAAGTGAGCAGGGGACAGACAGCACGGAGGGCGTGGTCACCTCAGCAGCTGTGCTTCCTCATGAGGATGGCATGGAAGACAGCAGGTCGATTTGGCTGAGGGGAGAGAGGTGTCAAGAACCCAGGGAACTCTGGGAAGCAGGAGGCAGGACTCCGTGGAGAAAGGACACTAGACCCCAAGGGTTCTGTAGACGGTGACTGCGGTCGAAGTTTTGCAGCGAAGGGGAGCAGAGAAGTGGGGCACAGGGTGTGCCTGTGGGGTTCTGGTGGTTTCTCAGAGGCATGCGTGGTTGTCAGTGGGGACCGTAGGCCAGGAGGGAGAGGTGCACGCTGGCGCCTACCTGTGAAGCCTGGTCCCTCGCTCATCCCTAGTCCCTGCAGGTCCCAGTGCCGCCTGCTCCAGGAAGCCTCCCCTGAGCCCAGGTGCTGGGCACTGCCCACCTGAGCAGTCTTCCCAGGGGCCCTCGCCACTGTCTACACTGATCTGGTCATTATCTCCCTCGCGCCCCTGGCATGAGTCCAGGCCCAGCACTGTGTGGCGGAGTTAATGAACGGATGTCGATGGACAAACGGACAGAGGAACAGACCCCTAAAAATCTCTAACGTGGAGCCCAGACCCCCACCCTCGGTCCCCATGTCTGCTTGACCCAGACCCTGCCTCTCCGCAGCCCGGCCCACCTTGGGGTCCAGGTCGAAGAAGCTGTAGTACTTGAAGCGCAGCCAGAGTGTGTCGCCGGCCTTGATGCCCTGCTGCATGAGGCACCTGGACGAGTCCAGCCACCTAGGCCACAGCACAGGCCATGGTCAGGGCTGGGGCTGGGACTGGGGCAGGGCTGGGGGCTGGGCAGGGGGCCTGGGGTCAAGTGCACACATACAGGGAAACAGGAGGCGTGGATTTGGGGCGGGCAGGACACGGGAGGGTGTGAGCCCTGGGAGGGGGGCCCGGGGTGCAGACCCCGCCAGTGGTGCACCTGCTGTGGAGCTGGGTCTTGTCCAACAGGGAGCTGGGCCGGGGCAGGCGCTGGAGCAGCAGGGGGTCCGGAGGTGGCTGTGGCCGGCTCAGCATGTGGTAGCAGGCCTCAGTCTGGGCGCGTATTTGGGGCGGGCAGGACATGGGAGGGTGTGAGCCCCGGGAGGGGGGCCTGGGGTGCAGACCCCGCCAGTGGTGCACCTGCTGTGGAGCTGGGTCTTGTCCAACAGGGAGCTGGGCCGGGGCAGGCGCTGGAGCAGCAGGGGGTCCGGAGGTGGCTGCGGCCGGCTCAGCATGTGGTAGCAGGCCTCAGTCTGGGCGCTATCTGAGAAGTGGGCCGGCATCCCCCGGAACAACGCAGGTGCCATGCCTGGAGCGCAGGTCGGGGTCAGCCGGGCCTGGCCTCCAGCCCTGGGCTTCGTGGGCCTGTCCCCTGTGCCCCGCCCCCCAGCCTGCCCAGCCTGTGCTCACCCCCAGCCAGGACGACCTTGGTCAAGTCATACACCTCCCCCTCTGGCTCCTTCTCCTTCTTCTTCTTCTCCTTCTTCTCAGGAGCCCGGAGCAGAGACAGCTCCTCGGGGTGCCGGATACCTGAGGGGAGCTGGGCCTCAGCGGGGCCAGGTCCTGCCCTGTGACCTCCTGCCCCACCCACGGTCACAGCCCTGCAGGCAGGATGGGGAACAGAGCAGCAAGGACAATAGCCAGGCCCGTAAAGCGAGGGGACCAGCCCCTTTTCAGGACCCTGGCAGGGCGGCAGAGCGGGGATCATCTGGGGACTCACTGAGGAGGCGGCAGATGACAGCCACGGCCTGGAAGAGGGGCTGGGAGAAGCTGGCTCGGAGGCGCAGGGCGCAGCGGTTAGGCAGCCGCAGGATGATGGGCCGGTGCTGGGGCCCGAAGAAGAGGCGGGCGTCGGCCAAGATACCGTACTTGTCCAGCGTCCAGTGGGTCTGCAACAGCCACTGTCTTTTCTGTTCCCACCAAATGGCATGGTCCGACCAGTCCTGCTTACGTTCTGTGGGGCCACGGGAAGGTGGGGGTACACATCAGCTCCGGAGGGCCCTGCCCCCAACGCTGAGCAGAAGCCTAGGATTCAGAGGCCTGTGGTGGCTTCCCTCCCCCGTCCAAGCCACGAGCAGGACCAGGCTGTGTGGGCGTGGGGTCTAGGACCGAGGTCACGGCAGAATGGCTCTTTGCTGGCTAACCCTGATTGTCCTTCTGGGCCCAGTTGCTATATCATTTCCTAGGGAGCTCTCAACTCAGAATCCCGATGCCCCAGTCTTAAGTGTCTCCACCGCATGGACTGCAGCCTTTCTATATCCTCCCACAATTCCTGGCTCACTGGCCTCTCCTCAAGGCTGAGGCCACAGCAGGGCCTGGGGTTGTGCCTGGTACACAGCCGCAGGCGCTCGGTAAATGTTTAGTGGTTCCTAATTCTGTGAACTTGGCCTAGCCTTTAACCTCTCTGTGCCTTAGCTTTCTAATTCATGGTCGCTGAACGGTGCCTGCTCTGTGGTAAGTGCACAGTGTCTGTGACACACTCATGCAGGCACGTTAACACACCAGTGAGCATTCAGTCAGAAATGTGAATACTTCACTCGTCACGCAGCTAGCGATGGAGGACACATGGTGTCCCCTCCCCCTCCCTCCAGGAGCTCAAAATGACACGAGGTGAGCGCAAGGACCAAGGATGAGCACAGTCCCCGCGAGTGTGCAAAGCCCTTCCATGCGAGGGGTCCAATTCCCTGCTTCCCAACATGGTCCCTAGTGTCACCAGTGCTGCTTCATGAAGACAGCTTCCCGGCCTGACCTGTCTGCCCTCTCCGGGATGTTTGAAACTCCCCTGTGCCCTCACTCTGTTCTCGGCCTTCTGGCACCCACTCCCCGCTCCTCTGTGGCCCCTCTCTTGGCCTGTCCCTGTCCTGTCCCTCCTGTCCTTCCTTGGCCATGGCCTCCTCCTGACTTCATCGCCTCATCTATGACTTCATCTTCCTGCACCGAGCCCCAGCCGAGGGGCACGTCCGCCGGCTTTGCTCTTTCCAGGAGCCTTGTTCATCAGGCCGTGTGCCTGATTCTGGGGCTAGAAGTGCAATGACTCCTCGTCCCAGCTGCAAGGCCCGCATCTTAACCTCCATCTGCCTGACACGGACGGAGGCGCCCGCCCTCCTCACCAGCAACTCCGTGCCACGTCTGGGGACTGGTGACGAAGATTCTCCTGTCAGGCCTGGGCGTCGTCCCTTTCACTTTTAGCCACTACATTTAATGGATGTTAACCTCACCTCCAAACCCACCCTCCATCCTCACTGCGGACACACCGCGGGAGGCCATGCCTCCCTGCCTCCGGCCCGCAAGGGACCTGCCCTGGCCTGACAGTCCCTCTACCTCCAAAGTTCTCACGACAGCCTCCCCAGCCTTGTTTCTTGTCACGCTCCAGGCATCCCTCCACCTGGCCTAGAGGCCCCAGTTCAGAAAATCCCCTGTCCCAGTATCATGCCTCCCTGCTCTCTGCTGCGGCCCCCTCTCAGCAATCTTAAGTGGCTTCTCCTGGGAGGTGTCCCTGTCCCACGCTGGGTGTGACCTCTCCAGGCCCCGAGCCGGATCCTCCTTTGCTGCATCAGTACTCGGCTCTGTGCCGGCCGCTGAAGAATGGGTCTCGCTTGCCTGGCTGCGCCCCAGGAGGCCGGGGGCTGCACATGGCCCAGCTCAGCTGAGCATCCGTAGGCATGGGATGCTCTAAGGAACGAGCGAGAGCAGGAGGGGTGGGGACAATGTCCCCATCGCAGGGGACAGGAGCTGAAATGACTTGTCTTGGGGAGCTGTGCGAGGGGTGGAGGAGTGGGGTCTGTCTGTCTGACTCTCTGTTTAGTCCTCTTATATTGCCATGTGCCATGCCCTGGGGACAACCAGGTCGTCACTCGCTCTGCCCTGGCTCAGCCGGGCCCGCCTGAGTCTCGGCTGAGGCCCAGTCTCCTGAGGGACCCTCTGCTCCCCACTTCTGCTTTCACGGCCTCATTGCGCCCTGCCTTCTGGAAGCTCCCCTCACCGTCTCAGCCTTTTGGTCAGGCTGTCCCTGGGGCCCTGTCCTGTCCACAAGCCAACTGACCTTCCTCCCAGGAGGCACATGGTGGGTTTGCTGGGTCTGAGGAAACCCGCCCACCCCCACCCTTGGGCCGCCCAGACTCCTGGCTGGGACTATCATGGGCCTGCCTTCCGGTTATGGCTATCGGAGTGAGTATACCGCCCTCCCAGGAAGGGACAGCCCCCACCCCCGGCAGGGAAAGGCCATGAGAAGCCCCCATGTCACTTGTCCTACTGCTCTCAATAGCTGATACCACAGGCTGCTCCTCTGTAACTTCCTGTGGGGGCAGGGCCTGTCACCAGCCTGCGGAGCCCTTCCGCCCTGGGAGGAGGTGCGGGAGCAGGGCCCCCAGGTTCCCAGGAGGCCCCTCTGACCTCTCCTCAGACCCTTGGAATGTTACTTCTTCCTTAGCCCAGGCAAGACCCCTTCTGCCTCTACAAGTGGATGAATGGAGGTCTGTGGCCAGGCCCGCTCCTTGGGGACCGAGCAGAACCAGCCGAAGTGGGAGGAAGGGAGAGAAGACAGCGGGAGGGAGGGGAAGTTGGGGAAACATCTTTTTTGGAACCAGATGATTAAGCTGGTGCCTGAGTCACCGTGACACTGTTATCGAGAGCTGCGCAGCAGGGATGGCCCGGAAGTGCCAAGGGACACCAGTCGTAGCCGCCCCATGGTGCTGAGGTCAGCAGCGGGACCGAGGGGCACTCACTGATCTCCTCCACGATCTTTAGGAGCACCCCGCCGATGTGCGACTCCCCCGTAACGCGGAGGGTGACTGACTCAGCCTCAGGATCCTCCTCTCCCACGAACACCCGCAGTTCCCAGGACGAGTCGATGTAGTCCCCGGCAGCCGTCTTCATGCCCGCCATGGCTGCAGCGGCTCTACAGAGGGAGAAGGAAGCAAAGTGGATCGGGGTGCTGGGCCTGGTAGGCTGCCTGTGTGTAAGCAGAAGAGACCCCACAGCGCCCTGGACAGGTAGGAGAGCAGAGCAAGCCTGCAGGCCATGGCAGCAGCAAGACACCAACTCAGGCAAACCTCAGACCCTCTCAACATCGCAGACGGTTAAGCCGAAAGGGCCCTCAGGGACCACGTTGTCCAACCCACTTCCACTTACAGACGGGAAGACAGACCCAGTGAAAGCGCGAAGGGGCTCAGTCAAGATCACCCAGCTTGACGGCAGAGCTGGGCACAACCTCTGTCTGCTTTCCCAGCCCACGGCTCACCCCAAGCCCACACTGGCAGCTGCCCACCCTGGAAATGGCTGTGAACCCAGGTCAGAGAATAATTCCAATCCTGGCCTAAAGCTGAGAGCCGAACACCTCAGACCAGCTGAGGCCTCTCTAGGGCACTGGAAAGACCAGGCTGCCATAGAGAGGAGCATGCTGGGCAGAGGGGCTGCAGGAGGGCAAGGAAGAGAAAGGGCACGGCTTACCTTGCCTGCAAGGGGTCGGCGCTGCAGATGGGGTTTGGAGTGTCAGTCACTCCTGGCTTCAGCCTAAACACCTGCAAACCGCTGGGCGCCTCCTTCACCTCTGCTTCCTTTTTGTAGCTTCCTTCAGAGGGCAGCCCTTGCGTCTTATCTTAAGCAGGGCGGGCTCGGCCCCTCCCCAGGGCGGGCTGGTGGCTCTGGGTGCAGGAAGCAAATTGCCAGCCTGCTGCTCAGGGCTCTAAGGTGGCCCCGCCTTGGTTACAAGTGAGGACCGGAAGCAAGGGAGGAGTGGGGTTGGTGGACCTAACACCACACAAAGGGTCCCCTCATTTGGGGGATAGCTCAGTTCAAAGTAGAGAAGCCACCAGTTTGTGTTCAGGACTAGGTTCCCTTGTAGGAAGCCATCTCCCATCTCCAGCGTGTCATGAGATGTGTGCCTTTGGGCCATAAAACATCACTGGGTTGACAAGGAGAGCCATGGGGTTGAAAGGATGGAATCCAGGTTATTTAGGATTTGGCAGGTCAAGCCAGCTTAAGACTCAATGTCCCTTATCACTACAAAGTAGATACTTGACGGCTCCATGGAGAAACAACTTCCTTAAATCCTTCCTGTCCCCTTTATTGGGACTCTATTTCCATACATGTCAACCTAGCGTTGCCCCAGGAAACAACTAAACAAAAAGAAATTGGCTGGATCATTCACAACCTTCCTGCCCCACCCCTACAGGTAAGGCTTCAAATCTGTCACTTCCTGTCCTACCGGCAACATGCTCTCCCCCACCCCCAGTGCGATCATTCCTGTCAAGTCCCTACTCAAATATGACCTCAGAGGGTCCCCGATAGCCCAACCTTTCCCGCCCACCCCTGCACTAGGATGTGGATGTACACTGTGGGAGACAGGCCTTGTGCCCACTCCTGGCTCCCCGCAGGAACTTGGCCTTTCCAGAGAATGTTTGGGGCTGAGGAAACTGAGCCTGAAGGGTAGCACAGCAGAATCCCTGTGGAGGCCAGGCTTTCTGAATTGTGCCACCCAAACAGGGGAGAGGGACTGTGGGGATTCCCAGGGGGAAGCCAGTTCATGCAAAGTCAAGGCGGCAGGAAGTACAGCTAGCTGCTGGCCTCAGCGGCTTCCTAGCCTAGAAAGCTACTCTTGGAGCAAAAGAGGAAGTTTTGCCCCTGTCCCAGAAGCCATCCCAGTCCAAGAAGAGAGTTTTAGAAAGTTTCTTGTGACCATGGAAGTGTAGTTAAAATCTACCACATTAAGGCCAGCTGAACGCAGTGCTTTCTCTAAAAACTAAAACATAGTAGTTGCCAGATTTCTCTCCCAAAAAGGCCCAATGCACTTCTTGCAATGGAAATAGTTTGGGTTCTTGGGGGGAACCGTGTCCTCTGGGTCTAGCTGGTTTCTGGTTTTGAGATTAGAGTGTGGAGAACTGACTGTATGGGAATCACCCGAAGGTTTATATGAACCTGGTCACTCGGTAGAGCGGCCAGGTTCCCTTTCAGGCACTGAGTGGCGGCGCCACCTAGCGACCGCCTCGGCAAAGCCGGGTGACCAAACCAAGCTCACTGCCCTCTCTGCCCATTAGAAAAAAAGAGGCCCTGGTCTGCAGTCAAGCCAATTCACACACACACCTCTCCCACCCCAGGCTGCCACCCCTACAAGACAGCCACTTCAGTCTTTTGGCAAAAAAATTACTCAAGGACATCGCAATGTATAACCACGCCCGATTGGCTTGTTTTATTGGAGAAAGGGACGTGGAATTAACAATGTGAAGACAGTTGGGACCTGAGGCTGGGAAGAATACCCTCCCCTCCCCATACATGTCCACTGCCCCAAATAAAAAATAATCAACTATGGGAGAGCAGCTGAGACAGCAACTGGGGACAGGAGATGGAGACAGAGGAATTCAAGGGCAGCAGAAGAGACCATGCATGTGCTGGGAGGGCCCCGAGGCAGCGGCTAGAGTAACACAGGTACAAGTCTTTGTATCTTCCACACAGATCTGTATAAATATATAGAGATAAGTTGTTCGCTTTTTCCCCTTCTCTCCCTTCTGTTCCGTGCTGCTTGCCGCATTCCCAGCTCCTCTTTCCACATGACGGCGAAGGGAAGGGGGATGGTGAGCAAGTCATCACCGAATTGCGATCAGACCCACATCCATCAGCTTCTGGATCTTCTGTGCTATTACAGGATTCTTTAAGTGTCTAATGAAGAAGAAGCAAAGTTATCTGAAATAAGACAACCTAAAACAAGTCTTACTCGCTCTCAGAGTAATCACCAATGCAAACTCCCCAGAAGGTACCAGCAACAGGAGGGGGTTAAGGAAAAAGTCCCGGCGGAGAACTGCAAAGGCCTTCAGTGCCATCCAGTCATAACCTGACCAGCTCCATGTGCAGGAGTCCACAGACACAGCTTTAAACTGAAACCATTCTTCCAGAGAAAGGGATTTTTTTTTTTTAACAGTAGAAAAGCTTTATTAGAAGGGAATGTACACTTCCAGACGTGGAAGCAGGCCTGAGCAAGAGAAGAGTGGCTCAAAAGGCCAAAAGCTGGTCTTTTCAACTGACCACTTAAGCTATTAAGACTAACAGTAAACGAAGCCCTTCCAGTCCACCACCAACTGCCGACCTTGTAAAAACACACTACGCTAGATACCCAACCCAGGCTCATCACATCCCCACCAACCTCATGCATTCTCATTGTTTTTTTCCTTCAAGGTCATCTCCCCCAACTCTACTCACTCGCTGAGTGCTTGTGGGTCCTTCTGCATCTGTTCCAGAATGAGCCTCATGGCCGGGTCACTCATGATCTGCTGCACTTCGGGGTCGGCCATGGCCCGTCGTTTCACGTCTTCCGGGCTGTCGTGTCGGTTGTACTGGGCCATCATACAGCGTTGGTAGCCATCTGCCGCCTCCTGCATTCCAGCAAAGCCAAAAGGAGTGGCCATTAGCACAATCTGCCTCACTCCTTCAGCAGGTCCAAAATAACAGAGATAACTGAGAAGGGTTAAGACACAGACACACAGAAGGACAAGTGACTAAACACTGAAAAGATCCGAAGGAGAAGCAACTCTACCTTACAGTTGGAGTCCAGCTCTAGTGCCTTCTGGTAGACATCCATGGCTTTTGTGTAGTCCTTCATCGCTTCTAGGGCAGCTGCTTTCCGTGTGTAACCCTTGACTGCAGACAGAAATGAGAGAGGTGAGACATTATCCAAAACACAGCTCATAGGACTACTACTTCCACCTCTGCATGAACACCAATACCCTTCATGCCTGCTGATGATAGCAGCTAAATGCTCCAGGCTGCAAAGACATACAGCCAAAGATCATGCCTTCTCCTCTCAATCTTTTGACCAGAATCAAGGGGAAGAGGCAGCAGAAAGGCACTTACTGAAGGTCGGCTCTAGCTGGATACATTCTTCGCAGTCCTAGGAAGAGACGAAAAAGAATGTCAAATTGAACCTCCACCAAGAGCTAATAAAGAGTATTCTACTTTTGCCTTCAGTGCTCCTATCGACCCTGGCTGGCATGTGGGTGATTTAAGGGCAGGTACGACACAAAGAGAGGAGAAGAGAAAGTTAATACCATGGGGTATTATGAAGGACAATGAACCCAGATTAGAGACAACTCCCGATTAGGGGCCATTCCTTCCAAGTGGTCTGGACTCTTCAAAAGGCTACATTTATAGAGGGAAAAAAAAAAACCCCAAAAGGTAGGGAAATTTGAGACATTAAAGAAGATATGACAACCAAATGAAATGCATGGGCCTCAGACAGACAGCTTTGAAACATATTTTTAGACCAGTGGAGAAATCTGAATATAAACATAGAACAGATGGCATTCTGGCCTCAGTTTTGCTATTATCAGGTACTAATAATATGATGACTAGATGGAGAAAATCATTTCAGGAGATGCATGCTCAAGAATTTAGGGGTAAAGGGCCAAAATGTATACAATCCCCTTTCATA